TGCGGTGCACCCATGGCCGTTCACGATGAGCCTGGAGATGCACAGAGAGATGCTGAACATGTTCAAAGGGGATGCTAAAACAAAAGTGGTGAACTTCACTGTGGGCTTTGGCATGCTGGAGTCGGCTTGTCTCGCTGAGGGCCTTGCTTGTCATGCATTCACACTGAATGCAACGCATCGTGCGTTCGTGCACCAAAGGATTCTCCTCGCCGTGACCGTTGACATGCTTCGTGGAGGAACCAAGTTCATCCGCCGCAGGGTGCTTTCTCGGGAGCGATCCCTAGGTGGTGCTGATGCACCATCGTCGAGTGAGTTTGGGTCGCCAGATTCCAAGAGGACGATTGCGGACCACGCCCCACAAGGAAGTGAGAAGGTCGAGAAGGATCAGGACAACAAGAGCGGCGGCGATGATGGTGTGTCGGAGTCGTCTGAATCCTCTGCGGATTCGGGTGAGGATTAGGATGCTTGAACTTTTGCAGCCTAGCAGGAGGTCCATCAAACGTAGCAATCATGCCAGATAGTAGCTTACCCTCAACCGCACACACGCACACACAGCCAGTGCAGCGGTCATTCCTCACAGCACGGACCTTTTGCAATTTGGCCTAAACCGTAGCCTCTTCAATCACGCACAGATGTTGAAGGTCAGGGCTTCTTTCACATTGGTTTTCCGATCGCCTGAACTTGGTGTCAGGCATGTGACATTGGCTGAAGCACATGCTCACAGCTCCATTGAACGAGGTCCGATTTTGACATGTTGCCTCCGTGGCCGAGTATCGGAGCTTTTGTGTCCAGGCCTGGCCGTTTTCGCACGGCCGAACTTTTGACCCAGACACCTTCGTGAAACAGGGAAACCCAACAAATAACAGTAGGCAAATCATGCAGCCGTGTGCAAAGTCTCTGCGGAGGCAACGCGAAGTTTGATTTGCTTTCCATTCACCAGCATTTGTTTTGCATCAAGTGTGCGCTACCGCCTTGTGTCTCCTGCCCCAGACGCCATGAAGGGTTACGCGGCCATGGCAAACCAGCAGTACCGGGATCTGCTTCGGGCGCTGCACAATGGAACACGTGTATCCCCAGTTGCGTGCACCGAGACGTCACTCCAAGCCATCCACGACCAGTTTCGCCTGAACACCCGAGCACTTGGCTACAGCACGTCTGATGGCACGGTCAAGTCGTCGAACTTTCGCAAGCGCCGCGTCCACGAAGCCCATGTGTTGCATCGCAAGGCTGCGCGATGAACAATGTTCAACACCATGTTGCACTGTCCGTTGTTAAATCTCGCGTGAGACATGCGGCAGGCCTTCATGCTCATGATTGTCACCGTCCATGATCCACAGGTCGCATTCGAGAAGAAAGCGATCGTAGCCCTGGCGGGGAAATCCTTCCACTGTGTTCAGCCCCAGAGCGACCATGTGAGCATCGACTTCCAGGAAGTCACGCTGGAGACGGTTGTCGAGAACTTCTCGCCTCGCCAGCTCGGTTCCTGGCGCTTCTTCGCCTTGCACGATGCGAACAGCCAGCTGAAGGTCGACAAAGTCATCAAGAAGAACATGCTGCGTCAGGCCAGCATGTCCCAAAGAACTTTAAGTTTCATAACCGCACGTGCGAGCTTCTTCCCAGGACGAGGAGCTGCCAAACCACGCCCGGATCTATTTCCGGGACCTCTCGTCGGCTTGCATGATGGGTTGGTTGGCTTTGACTCCCGTGACTCCCGGCGCCCTGTCTGAGAGGATCGAGGTGGATGTGTATGTGGCACATGAGAAGCCAGCAGGGTTCGTGTACCATGATGTCGACAGTTCCCCCTTGACGGACGCTTGGCTGCAATTGGGTGGCTCATGAGGACATGGGCGTACCGTCATTCACGAATTCATAAAACGAAGGAGGTGTATGTGGATACCACGCAAGTTGTGCAATTGTTCCCGACAGCGGTCGTTACATCTGGCATCGTTGTCGAGCCCAACGGCGGTGTGGTCTCGCTGACGGCAGCTTTGGAGCGGTTGAGTGGCGAGCTGGCGACGCAGGATCTCCACGCTATGACCGAGAAGGTTGAGTTCTACAAGCGTGAGCTTGCGGATGCTGAGCGTGACTTGGTGTCGAAGCGCCGGGCTCTGGGCAGCGGCGTTGTCAACGCCCTGCCTGTTTCAGGCGCCACGGCGGCGGGGGACGAGAGCGACAGCAGTTCTGGTGCAGCCGAGTAGATTCACCAGCAGCTTCGATCTTTTGCGCCTGTCCGGCCGGCCGAGTTGTCCAGGACGGCACAGCTCAGGCTGGCCGAGCCGAGCAGAGTTTTTGTGCAGCGCAGATCCGTACTGCGTGCGTCGCCTGTAAGGTAGCAGCATGGACACCAACCCAAACAGTTGTTTGATCTTGTGTGCGTCGCATGCCAGTAAGGGTTTGTGCGATTCCTCACAAGACTGCAGGAAGTTTTCAAAACAAATGTCGATGTGTTTCTGCTGTGCGACTGAGTGCATGATCGGTCCTGTGTCACGTGCAGTTTTCGAAGCATCAAGTCGGCGACATTCTTCGCAGCAGCCCGTCGGTTCTTGCAGAGGTACCAACGGTGTCTCTTGTTCGTGCTCGTGCTCTGTTGGAAGCATGGTGAAAACTCAGAAGCGCCCAGCAGCGTCAGCGCAGGCTGGTCGGAAGAAGGCAGCGAAGGACAAAAGCTTGAAGCACGAGGCCAACATCACAGTGCTCCCTGGCGCTTTCAAGTTGCGGGAATACATAAAGCTCTTGACCAATGGGCAGGGCGTGCTGAAGGACGCGCCAGCGCTCGTTTGGTCGTCTTCCTGCGACGGCATGGACCCGGTCAGCCACTTGTTCAACGCAATGGGCGTGCCGAACGAGCACTTGTTTGGCGCGGAATGCGACACAGCGGCGGCGACGTTTGTCTTGAGCCAGCACCGCGCGCTCCAGCCGCAGCACCTCTACCAGGCCCGGTTCTCAACCCGCCGCGGGGTATGTTTTTGAAGCTTAGGCGATTTTAGGGGACGGGTTTGGGGTTTTCCTGTGAGAAGGGCATGCCGGTCAGAGGCTTTTCCGAAGTCCGTCTTGCGGAAGGGGCATCAGCTTGCAAGACGTTCATGTCGGCATGCGACGAACGTTGCACCAATCTCATTGCCGCTGGTGCTGCTGGCTGCTTTTTTTCGTCTCAGGGACACTGTTTGCGACCGTATGTCGAAGTTACACGCGCTGCATGAGTAGTGCAAGGGTTTTCTGCAATACTTTTCGCTGCCTTCCGCGAGTTTAGACGAGAGGACGTGCGCATGACTGGGGAGAACCCGAAGATGCGCCTGTTGTGCTTGAAGCACGGAAGAAGTTGCAGCATGCCTTCGGCGCAATCCCTGCTTCACCTGGCCGGTTTCACGTGCAAAGGCAACTCGACACAGAATACAAAGCACCGCTGGTCGAAGGAGACGGGCCCGCTCAGCACGGATGACCCCTCATTGTCCTGCTTTCAGATGGTTTTGTCCACTTTGCGGCGGACAAAGCCGCGGTATGTGGTGCTGGAGAATGTTGTCGGGTCCACGCTACGGGCATGCACAAGAAACGATTGGCAGTAGGCTTGCTTCGTTGAGTTTTGTTGATTCAGTTTATTTACAGAGGAGTGTATGCAAATGCAACCCCAAGGCTTCCAGAGAAGAAGTCCGGCACCACACCGATGCAGACGTACCTGCAGATGCTGAGGGAATCCCTGCCGCAGCATGAGTTCTGCACAGTGGGGACGACGGCCGCGCCGCTTCCACAGGTGCGGCCGCGAGTCTGGATTTTAGGAGCTGCAAAGGATGCGGGGCTGACGCCGGAAACTTGGGCGAAGGCTGTTTCGCAGCTCGAGAACAGGAGCCATCAGCAGCATCACCACATCCACACGTGCTATCAGGCGGTGACGGACCCTCGCGCTGGCCAGGCCAGCAACATGGACTGGAAACAAGAAGCGGCGTACGCCGAATGTTTCGCGAAGGCGCTCGAGAAATGCGTCGCCCACAAGAAGCTGGATAAGTCGGACCCCGTGCCAAGACGGGACGCCCGCCTCAGCGCGTCATTCAAGTTTGACACGCCGTGGCAGGCAGCGAATGCAGACGTCCTGGCTCTCATCATGAAGAAGAAGGCATCCAGCGGCACAGATGCAGATGCTGCCGAAGGCATTGCCGACCTATCTCAAAGTGCTTTCATGGCACGTGTCTCCCACAGCGGTGTGTGGGGGACGCTGACAACATCCTCGGCCCTTTTCGATTTTGGCCGCCGCATGCACGTGCCAGCAAGGGCACACATGAAGATGAATGGTTGGGACGATGTTGATGTGAAACGCCTTTCCGATGCCGAGGTGCGAGAAGGCATGGGGAACGGCATGGCGCTTCCAAGCCTGTGCCGCATCTTGTTCCCACTGCTGCAGCACCTGAAGTATTTCCGCTAGGAACCCCTGGGCGCAAGTGCTCAAAGATCTTGCTGAGTAGATGGCCTTCTCGGAAAGCCCAGTTTTGACAGTTTTGATTTCCAGCCCATGTCCGTTGTGCCCAGACATCATCACAACAGAAGACGTGCTTTAGCAGCCCGACTGCTGCAGCGTCCAGCACAGCGGCAACCATCATCGGCTCATAGATGTCCCCTGCCTGTCATAGCTGCCTTCATCCCGTCGTGCACGCAAGCGTTAGCTGTTGAGCATCAAAATGCATGAAGCTTCCTGTGCACAACCGTGCGATTTCGGTTGAACTCTCAGCTAAACACGCTTGTCAGCGAAGGCTGTAAGCGTGGGATGAAGGCTGCGGCGACGTCAGGCATGATGTCTCACAACAACGGACCGAGCAAAACAAGAAAGCTGCTTCTTGCTACTGTGGCAGAACAGAGTGGCGATGTTTGTGAAGCATTTCCTGTGTGGCGGTGACAACTTCTAATGGGTCAACCTTGGATGCCCGTTCTAATGAACAAACATTCGCTGTCGCGCATGACATCCTTGTGGCAGCTTTTGGCACCCGCGCCTTGGTTAAACAGTAGACAAAGCC